CAACTATCCAATTCACATGAAAAATCTTTCTGTCAAGGTATATATTTATTTTTTTTATTTTTTATTTTTGATATTTGCATTGGTTGTAATTGATCTTGCTTGTGCTAATTAACTGTTAATTCAGGAGCTTCAACAACTAGCAGATGAGCTGAGGTCTGATGTGATCTTCAATGTTTCAAAAACTGGAGGCCACCTCGGTTCAAGCCTTGGTGTTGTGGAGCTCACTGTGGCTCTTCACTATGTCTTCAATGCTCCTCAGGACAGAATCTTGTGGGATGTTGGCCATCAGGTTTCTCACCTTCTTTGTTTGGTTGCTCTCTTTGTCTGATATCGAATAAGCAATGATTTGATAACTTCAAACTTTTCCATGTTTTGATTGTAAATTGTGATTTTTGTTTTGTGTAGTCTTACCCACACAAAATCTTGACTGGGAGGAGAGATAAGATGCACACCATGAGACAGACAAATGGATTAGCCGGCTTCACTAAGCGCTCTGAGAGCGAATACGATTGCTTTGGCACTGGTCACAGTTCCACCACCATCTCTGCAGGCTTGGGTAATTTCCTCTTCTGATAAATGTTGAGAACTCAAATGTATTGAACTTCAAAGTGTTCCTTTTTGGTTAGAAATTGAATTTCAGATTAGAATATTAACTGATGATCTGAGGTAAAAGGTTTCCGTTTAACAATTGGGATCAAAACATGAATGCCCCTTGGGAAGTTCCACACAATTGTAATTATAAGACACTTTATCATGTAATTGTCTAAGTGAAGAGAATCTGATTCCTTCTACTATACTCTCATGTAACTATTTACGATTTGATACATCATGCATTGGTTTTTATGGAAAAATGTTATATTTATCCTCACGCCAGTTTTTTCTCTGAATGATCGTATTGACATCTATTTAATTTCTATAATTTCAGTCCCGATTACATTTTTAGATTTAAAGGTCAATTCCTCATTTTGGTTTTTAATCTAGGATGTTAATGGAAATGCAGGGATGGCAGTAGGAAGGGATCTAAAGGGAGGAAGCAATCATGTAGTTGCTGTAATAGGTGATGGTGCCATGACAGCAGGGCAAGCGTATGAAGCCATGAACAACGCGGGGTACCTCGACTCTGACATGATTATTATTCTTAATGACAATAAACAGGTTTCTTTACCTACCGCTAGTCTTGACGGACCCATCCCGCCGGTAGGAGCCTTGAGTAGTGCTCTCAGTAGGTTGCAATCAAACAGGCCGCTCAGAGAATTAAGAGAGGTCGCCAAAGTAAGTAATATTTAAGTCTGAACATACTAAAGCGTAAGGAAAACACTTACATTTCCATAAATGTGCAGATTCTGATTATGGTTCAACTTTGATATGCGATTGTTGCAGGGTGTTACTAAACAAATTGGTGGCCCTGTGCATAATCTGGCAGCAAAAGTTGATGAGTATGCTCGAGGAATGATCAGTGGTACTGGTTCTTCGCTATTTGAAGAGCTTGGACTATATTATATAGGTCCGGTCGATGGTCACAACCTAGATGATCTTATTTCCATTCTCAAAGAGGTTAAAATTACCAAAACAACAGGTCCTGTCCTGATCCACCTTATCACTGAGAAAGGCAGGGGATATCCGTATGCAGAAAAAGCGGCAGACAAGTACCATGGTATATACATTTCTTTCTGAAGAGACAAATAAGCAACACGTGCATTATTATTTATTGAATTGTTTCTGAAATTAAATCCATTATTGTACGTAAACAATTTATTCACTGATGATTCTTTAAAAGGAAAACTGAACGTCTTTAATGCCGTTAAAAGATCTCATTCGTGTGGTCTGCATGAGCGTAATCTGGATATAGTCAATGAAAGGCGAATAAAGTAGTTTTTCTTTTGCTATTGCAGGAGTGGCCAAATTTGATCCGGCAACTGGAAAGCAATTCAAATCAAGTGCTAGTACACAATCTTACACGACATACTTTGCAGAGGCTTTGATTGCAGAAGCTGAAGCGGACAAAGATATTGTTGCTATCCATGCTGCAATGGGAGGTGGAACGGGGATGAATCTCTTCCTCCGCCGTTTTCCAACAAGATGCTTTGATGTTGGAATAGCAGAACAGCATGCGGTTACTTTTGCTGCTGGTCTGGCCTGTGAAGGCCTAAAACCTTTCTGTGCAATTTACTCATCTTTCTTGCAGAGAGCTTATGACCAGGCAAGCTATTAGTTTCTTTCATCTTTAACTTCATCCATCATTGTTATCTTCTTTCAGAAACTGATATGGTGCTACTCTTAGATGGTCAGAATATTACTGAAAGAGTATATAAACTCAAATATTGACTTCCATGTTTGAGCCTCAGGTAGTACATGACGTAGATTTGCAAAAGCTTCCGGTTAGATTTGCTATGGACAGAGCTGGGCTGGTCGGAGCTGATGGTCCTACGCATTCCGGGTCTTTTGATGTCACTTTCATGGCATGCCTTCCTAACATGGTGGTGATGGCCCCTTCTGATGAGGCAGAGCTTTTCGATATGGTAGCCACTGCTGCTGCCATAGATGACCGACCAAGTTGTTTCCGATATCCAAGAGGAAATGGGGTTGGCGTTGAGCTGCCACTAGGGAATAAAGGAACTCCTCTCGAGGTGACTTTCAGCAGTATCTACTACTATATATCTATCTATAGCAACCATAAATTTCAATAATTACAAGATGATTGAACGTTGGCAATTTGCCTACAGGTAGGAAAAGGAAGAATATTGATCGAAGGGGAAAGAGTTGCACTTTTGGGTTACGGAGCAGCAGTACAGAGCTGTTTGGCTGCCTCCTCTTTGGTGGAATCCCATGGTTTGCGCCTTACAGTTGCTGATGCACGATTTTGCAAACCACTGGACCGAGCTCTCATTCGCAGCCTTGCGAGGTCACATGAGTTTCTGATTACTGTGGAAGAAGGATCCATCGGAGGGTTTGGTTCTCACGTTGCTCATTTCCTGGCCCTTGATGGCCTTCTTGATGGAAAACTCAAGGTATGCATTTGATTTTGTTACAATATACTATGATTTCTCGATGACTCTTGCATAAACATTGTACTCCTCAAATTCCTTAAAAACTCACATTGATGCTCAATATCTTGTAGTGGAGACCGATTGTTCTTCCTGACCGGTACATTGACCACGGTTCCCCTGCTGATCAATTGGCCGAGGCCGGACTCACCCCTTCTCACATTGCAGCAACCGTATTCAATATGCTTGGACAAGCAAGAGAGGCCCTGGAGATAATGTCATGAAGACAGAAATTTACAAAGCAGCACCATTTTTTTCGCTGTATACAAAACCGAAACTGTGACGCTCTCTATTTCCATCTGTATAAAAAAAGTCCCATATTTGAGCAAGGTGTTGCATTAGGTAGCTGAAGGAAACCTAAACAATTCAGTTCATCAATTAGGAGCTCCAACTAGTTGAGGCACCTGAGATTGTAACATGTCCTACAAACGCAAGAACCGATTTGTGACTAGAAGAAAACTCTTTTCAAGTCTTTTGCATGGTGTCTTTTGAGTTTTTAACTTCGTTGCTTAACCCATCCGCATCCAAGTTTGGTTTCAATGTCATAGTAGCGTTCTGATTCAATAATGCATAGTTGTAGAAAGAAATTTACACATGATATTATGTTATTAGATTGAAATGTCATGCGGTGGGAATCAGTTGTTTGATTTTAATAATGCATTGTTAAGGGATTGTTGACACGTTTTAGTAGAGAGAGCAATTGGGGTTGTGGCGTTTCTAGGAGGGTTTGGCCAGGGCACAACATTCCATATATGTGTAGGCAGGAAATTAGTTAGTGGTGATTGATTTGAAATCACATCATACAAAGTATATGTCATGAAATGTCATGTCATCTATTCCCAAAGAAAAACAGCTAACAACAATTTGATGGTGCACATAAAAATATTCCCAAGTGATAAACCCACATCTCTCAATCCTCCATTATATCTCATGAATGTCAAATCTCCAAAACCTTCCCTTAAATTAAAAAGTTACGCCACTTTGCCCTATTGATCATGAAATAAAATATACAAAACAAATATATACTTAATTAGTTCCCCAATTACTTAAATAATCAAGCTATAGAAAGAAAAAGAAAATTCCTCACCAATTATGAAATGACAGTCGATGAAATAACAGTTGAATTAAGGGAGTGTATTCAATTGAGAATTTGAGAGACTTTAATGAATTTATAAATCTATGGATTTTTATAGAGTTTAATTGATTTGTAGAGATTTCATATAAAATTTTGATTCAATTCTCTCGAAATCTCATGGGAAGAGGTAAGATTTGTAGATGCTTAAAATACACTAGGAAATCTCTCCAATTCCCTCTAATTCCTCAACTTTCTCAAATTCTTTAAAATCAATTTTTAATTGAAAACACCTGGAATATTATAAACTTCTTTAAAATCCTAATTGAATACACCCGAATTTTTAAGGATTTTAATAAACTATCTTAAAATTCTATTCGAATACATCTTGAATTTCAGGGAATCACTTAAAATCCTGATTGAATACCCTTAGATTCATTAAAAGAATTAAAATCTCTCAAAATCCCAATTGAATACACCCCCCTAAAAGATTCTTTTTCTTCTTCAAAACCGTTTTAAGTGTTTTTAACTATAAAATGGAGTCTCGAATTGATTGTTTGAGAAGAACCCAAAATACACCAGGATGAACAATATTGCATTAATTTCACCTATAATTAATATGAAACAAATAAATTGATTTGTGTACTAAATATCCTAAAAAAAATGGAGTTTTAACGAAAAGCCCGCAGTACTGTTCACTTTAACAAAAAACCACATTTGTACATTAAAAAATCAAACGTAGTATTATTCACTTTACCCTTTATTTTGTCCTTATTATTAAAACTCAAAGCTTTCTAACCATTTTCATTAGTTTTTCTTAAAAAAAAAATAAAAATAAAAGTACGGTCTATATTACAGGCGCCTGCCCCCCATCACAAGTAGGTGTGAAACCCGTAACCATTTACGTGAAAGGCGGACGCAATCAGCATCTGTTTAAACACAAACTTTGTTACTCCCTCGTCCCTACTACATTATGCAACAAGCATTTGGGTTCTCATCACTGAACATGAAAAGAATTTCACTCTCTTTACAGCAATCAAAAAATGGCGGATAAACATTTGGTTTTGTCAGATTTCCCTCACCGGACGCATCTTTTGGTTTTTCTTCCTTGTCAACCACAATCTCCACTTTCTTGCCCGTCTTTTTCCTCAGTTTCTTCAACACCTTTTGTGGGTCGATTTTCCCAGTCACCACAACTTTGTGTTTCTTCATTTCTGTCGTAAATTTCTCCACCCCTAATAGTTCAATTAATCCAAAAACTAAATTAAAATTAAAACAAATTTAAGATAAAGCTGTAAAAGAAGTTAACCTTTGAGTTTGCGGAGGGTTTTGACGACGGTTCTTTCGCATGCATTACAGTGCATCGAGACTTTGAATTGTACTGATACAACCTATGGATGAATGAAAACGAAATCTAGTTATGTAATTTTGAGTCCGAGATGTGATGGTAAAGGGTAAATGTGGGTTAAAACGTAGAATCTTACTTTGAGTTCTTGGTCATTTTTCTTCTTACTCTTTCCCATTGACACTGTTGAGTGTTGACGACGAGAAGGCAAAACATGCAAATTACCCATGCAGGGATGGAAGTTGAAGAGACACAAAGGCAGTTCGGTAAATATTTGCATGTGTTTGGTAACAGCGGTTATTAAATCGAGTCGTCAAATTACGGACATGCCCCTTCCTTGGTCGGAAAACGAATTAACAGTTTGTCAGTTTTTTTCTTTTTTTTTTTTTTTTTTGTCCCTTATTTTTTTTTCCCGCGATTTTCTGAATGATGTTCCAACGTTTCCAACTGCGAGTCTCTTTTGCCACTTCAACACTTCAATCTTACCCAACTTAGTTAATGCAACTGACCCTTTTTTTTTTTTTTTTTTTTTTGAACAAACTGTTTAGGGTTACTCTCATCACCAACGTTAGACTATGTTGAGAATGAGTCTACATTAATGAGAGGATGGATCTTGCATGAGTTTATAAGAGGTTGGCTACTCTCCATATTGTCAATTGGTATTATGATGGAACCTCAACTTTCTTCATACTGTACTCATAACGTCGAGTCAGAAGGACTTATGCGTAACGATCAACTGACAGCTGTGCTAGTATGGCTTTACGTAGGAATTTACAAATCGCGTACCAATATTTAGGATCGCTAACAGCGAAACTCGAACCTTGGTGGGACTATACATAAGACAGAGACCATAATTACTAACTGAGTCAACCCTCGTTGGCTTTAAGCACTTGACTTTAAGAATGTAAGTTAACATACTATTTACCAAACTTTTTTGTTTCAACAAATGTCGTAAGATTTGGATTCAATGATAACAAAGTTGAGACTATATGCTACTAAATTAAGAGTTAGTTGATAATAAATTTATGGCCCATCAAGATCATAACAATTTAAAAATAAAAAATAAAAGAGAGTTGTATGTGATGAATTGTTCAAGTGGATAATTTAATCGTCTTCAATCTATTGCATTCTGAATTTAAATCTTCTTTTGCTCGTAATTTAAAAGAATTTAATATAAATTATCCTATCGATAAAAACAAATAATCAGTCATTTCATAAAGGATTCGCAGTACAGCTTTTAGCTGTTGCAACCAAAGCCCTGCTTATTTATTTATTCCGTTGGAAAATATAAAAAAAAAATTACAGCAACTATGACATTACAGAAACTGGAATTTAATACTTAATTAGCATTAACAACCCTGCAATTCTTTCTAATCTCTCCACCATCCTGCTCTCGTGTTTTGACTCCAATGGCACCCATTTTCTTCATTGAATTCCCAAAGTAGGTCATGAAAATATGGAACCTCTCAAAACGTCTAACAATCCGAGCCGAACGCCGGTCAGTGAGTAGGGCAGCATCTGATGTCAAGAGGCCTTTGTTTTGCCTCAACCCCGCAAAGTAATGACTGTCAAAGGAAACTGAGCTGTTGGCGTCCAGCGCCACCGCGACGGCCGGAGTGGTGCATTGTGTTCTCAAAAACTCTGCGTATTCTGGATCAAGTGTAGGGTCTACGTCACCTTTTCCGGTTACGTTCAGTCTCCTTTGAAATACACCGCAATGTGCCACTCCAATTGTATGTGCCCCTACACATCGAAAAATGTTCTTTTGTTAGACGGTCAGTAATTTAATCAGTTGAACTAAACCATTGATTAGATAAAGTTCTCATTTGAATGTGTGATTTAGATTGATAGTCTAAAGACCTAACATGATATGATCATTTGATTATCGACCGGGAAGAGAAAACTTGATACATACCTGATAATGCCACAAGATCTATGACATTCAGCCCCAAACCAATAAATTGCTGGTAGAGTGTGGTGAAGTTTGCACCTGCGGAGGGTAAGTTTGCTGAAGCCTCTGACGAAAGGGAGACTTTTCCATCTTTTCTCCCGGTTAAAACCTGCCACATCGGCCTTCCAAACTGCCCAATGATCGATAATAATTAAATATCACAAACAAATTTAATATATATCAATGATTTTATTTGATATAATAATAATATATATGGGAATGATTTGAGTGTGTATATATATGGCACGTACTTGATAAGAGACAGCATCTCTGGCTGCCAAGGCAACAATATCAGCACATGAGACGATGCCGGGACACTCTTCTTCTAATCTGGCTTTAATTTCATCAATAACCTCATAACCTCTAATATTCCTGTTTTGTATTGCTTCCTTCTCCGCCGTGTTGTCGCTGGTTGAATCTAGCAATAGTGATGCATCACATCCCTACAACAAGACACACACACACACACACACATTAGAATATATAAACGTTGTACAGGTGGTGAGGTTTTGATAACAAGAAAAAAGGCTGGTAGACGCTCGAGTATCCAACCCAAAATCAATTTTAGGATACTAGGATAACATACTCTCAACAAGGCATAACGTGTAATTGTGTATGCGTGCACTTACATATAATAAGGTAATTAAGGTGCATCTTAAGGTTTTGCTACATGATCCATGCATGTGGTGATAAGCTGAAATGGGAAGGAATTGGTGCTCATACGTACCCTAACAAAACAGTCATGGTAGTGCATCCTTAGAAGCTTTGCTGCCATGGTAGGATTTTCTGCAACCTTGCTCCATGTGATATTCCTCACTATTCTTCCAATTTCAGGGCAACTCTTGTGATAGAACACCGGACTCAGCCCACCGAGACCGCCATTACAAACGCTAACAACGTCAACGAGCACAAGAAGAGAAACTAACACCACATTTATGCTAGGCCTCATGATCAAAGATATTTAACCAAAAACCCAACTTTTGAGTATGAGTTTGTTTTCTTAACACGTAATATGAAAAGCACCAGGACTCTAGGAGTATATATAGCCGTGGAAAACCTAGTTTCGAAATAGCTATTCTGGGTTCCTTGAGCTATAAATTAATCAATTAAATACTTATTTAAGTGATCTCGATTATCAATTGTATAAAATTCGATGTTCTTCATGATACATTTTGATATATAATTGAAGCATATGATTCGTTTAGTCAACTACTTTTTAATTGCAACATAAATGTAGCTGCTAGCTAATCATCTCTCGTTATTCGTTGAATAATGGCCGCCATTGACCAAATGAAAAACAAAAAGAAGAACAATAGTTGGAGTGAAAGCAATCTTCTTATTTAATTTTTTTTCGTTCTAACTTTCTCATTTTTCTTTTTCAATTTGCAATGTGACTGAATGATTCAAACTGTTTATTTTCTAAGTTGTCCTTCAAAGATCAAGTCTTGCTAAAAATCAACCAAATCTAAATCTGTTTAGTCATATGACAGTTGTTCAATAATAATCTAAACTATATATTAATAAAACACTCATTGTCAATCAAAATCCTATGAAATTACCAGTTTAACTCTTTAATTAAAACTGAATATGAATAAGAAATATGGGCAGAAGTATAATTTCACCCTACCAAAATTTTGCTGTTTTTTTTCAAAGCCTCATCTACATGTAATTCTAACATATCTCTAATTAAAAACTAAAAAAAATAAAAAATAAAGCCTCTCCCCACTCTCACATCTTCTATCACTCTCTTGCTCTCTCCTTCTACTTCAAAAACAAAAATACACACTTTGTGTGTGCCCATATGCTAGTATATATATGAACTAGGTTATTCAGTTAAACACTAAAATTTAGACAACATTTTTCGAACGGTTAAATGATTTCTAAATTAATTTATTTTGCAGAGTTAACCTTAAAGGATAAACTAGAAAGTAGATTGTATTAATTTATTTTGCAGAATTAATTTATGAACTAGGTTACAAGATGAAAATGAGAGCCGAAAATGTAAAATAAGAAGGTCCGACTAAGAAGAGCGGTATCATCCGTGTAGGTTTTTACAAAGTTTGTCAAAGCATATAAACAACTTAGATTCTGTCAACTCAGTCATGGTAAGTGTTGGCGCCTATGGATATACATATAATGCGAGCAAATGTCTGGAAGCTGACAGAAATTCAAGAGTAATGTTATTCATACCATATTTTAATACCACATTTTTATACTATTTTAGATGACATCTGATCACATCATTTGAAAAATTTGCAAAACTCAAGGAAATGAATGAGAAAAACTCCTCGTATACCACAGTCATCATTTAATTAACTAGTTTTTCTTAATTATTAATTTATTAAATAATGAACTAAATTTACAAATCTAATTAATTCAAATGATGTGGCTATCCACATCAGATGTCACCTAAGGTGGTATGAAAATATGGTACAAAAATATGATATGAATAGCATTACACGAAATTCAATGTTTCATGGTAGCTATACTTTCTGTTAATATAATGCATGATTTGCACGCAGGATCAATTATCTAAGTTGTCTGCTGTTGTTTTTCCTTAAGAAACATAACAAATATGTAATGGCTGGCAATATTTAGAGTTTCAATCTGGCAATGTGTGTGTGTGTGTGTGTGTGTATGAAGCTTTACGGGCATAAAGCACACATAACCATTAAAAAAAGTCAGAACAGCTCGTTTTCTAGCCATGTACGTCTGTTCGTGGACTTTGATCACAAATGCTAGTTAAAATCTTTCATTCAAAGCATAATATATCATATATGTGCTCTTCGATTTGGGAATAGCTTCAAATCAAAGATTTGTTTTGGATATTCTTGATTAACCACATCTTAATCTCGCCACGCCGATCCTTATGCTCTTGTGTAGATAACTGGAGTCCAATAGTCCGATAATATTCATAACATTTAAATTAATGTTAATGATAATGTTAATCAACTTTCTAGTTTTTATCTCAAGAAACCATCATTAAAGTCATGCTGAAACACCTTAAACAGAAAGCTAAGCCACTGAAGTGAAGATGAATACACATAAATATTACTTTGTGACAAGATTTTGCTATGGTTAGTCGTCACACAAAGTGTAAATGGATATTCATAAGTATTAGTATGTAACCGACATGCTTAAGCGACTAACCGTAACATGGTTCTACTCAATCTAAGGAGCATATATTATCACAAATGCATTACCTAGCCAAAAATAGAGCCTTGGGTTTCATGTGTAAGCTCTAGCCACAAATCGCTATAAAAGCGCTCAAAGGCCTGATGTGAGATCCCGTATTTTTAGAATTTGTTTAAATGTTACTATTTCAGTCCCTTTTTTACCTAAAGCCTTTTTGCCATCGCATTTGTTATATTAGTTACTAAACCTTATTATTTGTGTACAACTGTAAAGGTTTTCGGATTATTTATATTAGAGAAGTTTGTTTTTTCTTTTTTTTTTTACTTTTATTCTCGCTCCGAACCTGATCGCAGATCTAGGACGTGACACCTAAACCTAAAGACAGTTTGTATATGCATGTAACTTTTAATATCAATACTACTTAATCAAATGCAAAATTTTATCATTTCCAGTATTAATCTTTCTCATACATACTTTATTTGGGCGATAGGACAACAAGAATCGAGACTCTCACTCTAACCACCACACAATATACACATTGATTTTGTCTTTTTTCTCCCCTTTCTGATAAAACAATATTAGTGGGGTAATTTGAGCTAAGTCACACAATGAGCTAATTATAATGAGGTATCGAACTCATCACTTATGAGAGTTGAATCTGAGACATTTCACAAAAAAATAAAGAGAAATACCACTAGACCGTACTATTACCGACAAACATTAACACAACTCTGGCGTGCATCAAAATAAGTAGTATATATACACGTACGATGACATTTTCTCTATCTAGAAAACAACACTTAAATTAGGTTTATAATAAATCCTAATAAGAATGAAAGTAGAAGAGACGAAGATTTCAAAAGGACCTTAAAATTCATAATAAATTCATGGGTACCCTGCTGCCATGCAATTCTCCCAAAAGAGGCTATCCACCGTTTCATCCATGTTGCTAAGTACACCAACCAGCTTTGATTCCACTTCTTCTTCCTCATATCCTGAGGCTGCTCCTTCTGAGTACTGCAGCCACACCTTGCTACGACACCAACTCCGCGCTCGATGCTGATCTTCTACACGATCCTTAGAGTAATTATGATCACAAGCACCAAATGTATGAGAGCTACATGATTCTGCGTCCTCATCTACAAGTAGTACTAGTGCTGCTTTAGTAGTGTGATGGTCTGCTGCCTCTGAATCTGCAGTGCCTTCAAATAAAAAGAAACAAGAAACATCAACAAACTTACCCTCTTTGCAAGCCATAATCTTCACCACTACTATTTCATCAAGTTAATAAGCTTTGTGATGGTTTTAATTAGGTGGGTTTTGATCTTGATAGTTCGTTTATAACATTTTTTTTATAGCTAGGGCTGTGGTTTTAAACCTTCCTGTTTGTTGATGCAATAGTGACAAAACGCACTCTTTACTCCTGTTTGGTCAAAATGTGGTAGGTTAATTCTTGCTTGACATTCCAATTTGGTGGTGGGTTTTATGTCATCCATCCACTCCATCTTTCAAAGTATCTTGCTATTCACCTTCCACTCAAGAATGCTAGACAGTGCAAATTTCATGTCGGGAAGATATGCCTTATATGTGTTACAATGTAATGAATGACTTCACGATTAATTATATAGAGGAGGAATGGAAGAATTCCACAATGAAAGTTTGATATGTAAGAACCAATAAAGCCTCCTAGAAATCTTAGTCCATTTAAACAAACCACGAATAACCAAAACAATTAATATACTACAAGTATGAAATATAAACCAACCTGCAGCAGTCATAGATGAAGCCATGATCAAACAAGTAGTAGACCTTCTCCTCTCTGTCAAAACCAATAATACTCAAACTAACAATAGACCTTAGTTCAATAATGAGCGTATGTTTTGTAAGAGCAGAGGCTACTATTTATACACAATCAATCCATGTAATTCTCCTATTAGAATCCTTATTCAACACTGAATAAGTTTACCTTATTGTATACAAAGTGTTAAAACCAGTTTTCATACTTTCATTCAATCCTTCAGAATAAGGATTAAGTATACCTTTTTACATTGGGACTTTTCTATACGGATCTGAAACAAATAGCAGGCCTTAGGAATTATAATCATCATATTCTTACATTCTCCCACTTGATCATGACCTAAAACCATCGCACAACAATTCAGATCATTATAGAAGTGATCACTAAATCTCAATGAAAAATTACTTCATCACAAACAATCTATCAATGCATTTCAAAGTACTGAATCCAGAAATTCACTCTTTATACAATACAGAGCTAATTTCAAAATCACAGATACTCAATCTGCACCTTTGTAACATTGTGAACCAACTGATTAAAGACAAACTTAAAACAAGTTTGCTCCCACTTTTGAAGCCAAAACATTTAATATCAACACATGATATCAAATCGTAATCATCTCAATATTCAAACCACTTGAATAACATGATTCATAATCCAAGTAATTACTTAAACCAAAATCTCGAAAGATCATAAGTAATACTATGAACAACACTTTATAATTCAGCCAACTGCTTTATCAAATCAAAAACTGACTTTAAAGCATTGTAAGAACCATAAAACAAAATTTTGTCTTCTAGAACAATTAATCACAGATAATCTGGAAAAATTGAACCCAAATGAAAACATTCGATTATTCAAAACTAGCTAAAACATAAAACTAGTTGAAACAAAACTAACTAATAAACCTACAAAGATGTCATCACCTTCAATACTTCTGTACCAGCAACTACTCCCACTGATCAAAAGATTCCAGCACTCCCATTCGAGTAACATGAGCTTTGAAGACTCCAATTGGTAAAGCTTTAGTCAAAGGATCTACAACCATGAGATTTGTACTCAGATGTTGCACTTCTATAGTTCCTTTCTTTACCATCTCCCGAACTTTCAGGAATTTTACATCCATCAGTCTACT